AACTTGGAACCTTCACTAAAGTCGATAAAGTCTTTTTAGTGATATGGTTAGTTTTTCGATTGGCTCAATATGACAGAAATTAATTACAATTCATTTCATAACTCCGGAATGGCTAATATTATCTGCAAGTTTCACTGAGACGATTTCAATCTTCAAAAGTTGAGAAAATCGCAAAAAATCCATGCTTTGCCAAATATGACTGTCAAACGAAGGACAACTTTTCTGAGGCAATTCTTTGATTCGATATGAAGCGATCAAAAACTATATAACTTAATACTAGCAAAAATAAATGAAGAATGAAGTCCCGGACGTATTTAACGTATGTGCAATAACATTAACTTCATCACATACCACTTCATACATCGTTTGCTTGAGATCAAAATACACGTAACCTGKTTCTGCCGCAAAGTTTTCCGCCTTGGAAGCCTTGTCCTCGTCCAGCAACTCACATCTTGCATCTTTCATTTGACACGCCTTACAGCGACAATCTTGGACACAAGATGAGTAGCACTTGACTGGATCATCRGTGGTGATGTTCTTGTAGGAGTATCCCTTGAGATGTTTTCCACGGAAGATCTCTTGCSGATCTGGGAAAAGTTTTCCTGAATAGCAGGTGCCGACGCAGTGAGATTTACCAGTGACTCGGCGGAAGCAAAGATATAAAGCCATCAAGCTGATGCACTGGATCTTCATAACTATAGCTGTGTCAAAGTTCTGGTTTCAATCTACAAATAAAAAAAGAAAATTGTTTTTTTAGACAAAATTTTACTCGTAAGCCTGAATCACAGAGTTATTGGAGTAAAAAAGTGAAAAAATGTGCAAAATAGAGTGCATGAGGATGATTTTTAGCTTGGTACTGACTGTTATAAACAAATTAAAGTAAACTGAAACTGGTCTTGTTCTAAGAGTGATGAGAAAATATAAACTTAACTGAAACTTTGGTCGTCCTTGGGGCCTGTCGCCGGTGTGAGTATATCTGACAATTCAGTAGGAGATCTACCTTTTCATAACACTTAAATTAGATTGCTTTATGTGTAAGTGAATTTATTGTTTTTCATTTYAAAGTTTGTCAAGTTAATTAATATCCCGTCAATGGGAAATGTGAATAATTAAAGGTTTTTAAAAAGTGTGTTAAGGCAAAGAAGGTGCAGGAGTGCAGCCTGCGGAGTGGGAGGGGGTTGGGAAGGAAGGAAGAGGAATCTCGAATCCAGTTTTTCTCGAACAAGATTATTAACACAGGAAGACCAAGAAGAGAAAAAAGTCCGTTTCCGTTGAAGAAGCCTGCGAAGCTAGGCTACTTTGGTCGTCCTTGGGTTCGGTCTCCGGTGTGAGTATATTTGACAATTTCAATAGGAGAAATAACCTTTTCATAACACTTAAATTAGATTGCTTTATGTGTAAGCGAATTTATTGTGTTTTTATTTCAAAGGTTGTCAAGTTAATTAGTATCMCATCGTGAATAATTAAAAAGGTTGACTAAGGTTTTCAAAATCCATCTGTGCTCTTTCAGTTAACAATAAAAAGTTAATCCAAAATATTATTGGTGTTCTACATCATCTTTCTACGCTATTATACGAGTTCATAACAATTAACTAAAAGGATTTTTAAAGTCATAGAATGTGATGACGTCATAAAAGAATAATTACGTCATTACAAAATCTAAAAAGAGTGACTTCTTCAGACTAGTATGGCAATAAAAAAACCATTGCGAGATGTTTGGTTGTCATTGTCTGCACGCATTCATATCAAGTCATTGAAAACTTCAAGCCTCTAAATCATTTACAGGCTAACAATAATAAACCATAATAAATACATGATTCATAGTCATCATGTACAGTCACCACAACTGACATGTTAGACCCCTAAATCTTTTTGAAAAGAAATATGAAACTTTGGGTTATTCGTACCCAAAGTATTGCACTCATTTTATATTATTAACACTTGTACTAATGTATTCAGCGTTTTGACATCTACAATTTCCTACTTCAAGGATCTTTTAAAAAGTCGATCGACACCATTCAGACTCGTACATAGTCTTTACTCTTCTTTTATCCCTGCATGAGCCGCTTGCACAGGACAAGTGACTGGGTACGAGTCTGCACCATTAACGTATGTATGTATAAATACATTCGACATTACTTCCAAACACTATTAGTTTTAATCCCACACCCTCAATGACTGAATACAATCAAATTGTAGAAAAAAGTTACACTTGGTCAGACTTTAGAACTACAAGAGCTTTATTGATCAATAACTGCCCTTAATATCGCTCCTCAAGGCCAGCTAATGTTATATGTACAATAGTATAGATCTGTCAATATACGACATACGCTGTGCAATGTATGGAGTATGTTTCTGCCGAGTGCAATGCAGATATTTATCAGCTTAATATTAACATCAATTTKTCACTTCTTTKTTATTACACAGAATCATATAAAAAGTTTATCTTTTGTAAAAAAAGGTTTCAAACTGCTTGTAAAAAKGGTGAATCCAGTGCTACYCACTAGATAAATCCTCTTACAAGCAGATAATATATATACCAAATCTATAGAGTGGATAACTTCATGCACAATTTGCACAACCGACTCAGGTTCTGAATATAAAACAAATGTGAATTGTGAACAAAACTTGATAAATTCAAATTATCAAACWWTGTTCCTTCTCAAATTTCAGTTTCAAAAATAAACCGTCCCATTTYCCATAAGAATTCAAGTTTGACCTGAAAATCTAAKAAAAAATTGCAGAATTATCAAAATKAATKATTATAAAACATAAACTACTTTCACAGCTTGGTGCAATGCTGCTATTACAAGGAWCTATTTATCAAATATACACTGGGATGGCTTAGTGCAATGCCATTATCCATCTATATAAGGATTACTTCTTGGCATATGAAATATTCATAGCATTCGTCGGTGTTATGCGGAATCCTTGTAGGGCATCTTTGGCAGTTCCTGCTTGGACTTCGTTGTCGAACTCTACAAAAGCGAAATCGGATCTTCCAGGTACAAGACGAACTTCTTTGAATCCTGGGAACCTGAATRAAGAGTTGAGAGAGTGTTAGTGCATTTTATCTTGTAGAAACTATTTATATAAAATGTACTATTGACTGTGTGTTGCGTAGCTTGTTGTTTTAATTTTGGATATGAAAGACTAGTGACTACTAGTTGGTATTAACCTCTGAATCTATTATTTTCTTTCTATCTTTACCAACAAATAGTCATTTGACAAGTAAATTTGACTATTACATGTACACACTTTAGCTGCACAATATGTAAATATATCCTACTTAGTCTCATCCAACATTATTTGTTATTGTTACTTACTGGTTGAAGAGCATAGACAACATCATTTCTGTGGTTTCTGGAGGAAGGTTTGTTAAGAAGAGGATACTGTTTGGCAGGTCTGGTGCTTGYTGGACTAATCCTGGYTGACCCATTGCTGCAACTGAACRAAATAAASATTGGTYTTAAAGTAATTGTGTTATATACRAGTCAGTGTGTTCACAAGATGAGAGTTGACTGTACTTTGTTTTATCATTTGAATTTCTTACCATTTGGTGGCATTCCWGGTTGTCCAGGAACCATACCAGGAACAGCACCTGGTACTGCTGCTATTTGTTGAGCTACTGGCTGGGCCTTCTTGGCAGGTCGACTGACAGCTAAAAAACAAACACAGATCATGAGACACTTTGATACTATATCTTTTTTGTAATTAACTTCACRTRAAATCTCATAACTTGATGCAGGACAAATACAACTTTTCTGGTGTCTTTACCTGGTTCTGCCTTTCTYTTTTCTCKTGGTTTCTTTTCTCTTTGGACAAAAGTCCCCTCAAGTTTAGCRACTGCATCGGATTTGCTCTTAGCATACTGTATTCTCTGCATATTTYAAAACATTAATTGTAACTTTAATCAAAGCACTTACTGACGTTCAAGAACACACTAATAGAACTTTAATTAACACAATTATCAAACAAAAACAAGGACAAATTTTGAACCTACCATTGGCTTGTCRTAAAATGGAAAYCCCTGCATGGACCGMAGAGCATTTGATGCRCTMGGCAAGTCCCTAAACACTACGAATGCCTGGCCTCTCATTTTAAAGGTTTTTAAAGCTACAATATCAATAATGGCTCCAAATTGAGAGAAGATTGCGTAAAGTGACTTCTTGAGCTCTGCAATTACACCAAGTTAAATAAAAGAACAAGACAAAAATACATTAGTAATTCATAATTTTGATTTTACTTTTTTTCTAYATTAAACACTACTAAAATGCTGCACTAYAGGTTAYAAMATCGTAGCAATCAACTTGTATACAGTGAAACASTGAGGGTTTTRTTAAGAGCTTGGAGTTTTTGTACTGAAATTAAAGCTACGAACTTTGTCAGAGTTCTATCAAGTGATCAGATACTCAGCTGAAATATTACTTAAAGCAAGACTTCCATTAAACTAAGCAATAGTTTACAAAACATACCTTCTTTTTTGACTTTTTCATTRAGATTATTGATATAGATCGTTTGACTTGGTGGAATTTCCATTATTCGATTGACAACTTTCGTAAAGTATTCGTTCGCTCACAGCTGAAGTCTGAAGTGAAATTGACGTTAACAAATGACAAAAACTGGAGAAATAGACAGCAAAATACAYMGAAAAGTATTTAAACTACACGATGTTTATCTACATGAGATATATACAGCAAAATATAGCAAGATGCAAAAGGATTCTTCTCACCAACCTGACACACAAGACCGATGCTCAAAACAACGCGCCKAATACGATTTGTACCCAGTCTTTCTCCTTCAGATCCCACGCGGTCAAACTCCAACACAGGAATCCCAAAGATATAATTCTCATCCCTTTCTTCTCGCCCTTTCTACTGGTTTATATAACTATCCGTCATTTTGATGCATTTAGTTCTAGAAGAAGCTTTTTTTGTGGAAACGAAAGCCAATACTGTTTATTGTGATACAGCCTCTGTTATTTAACTGCATTTGATTCMTTGCTTGTAAGAAATGCCTGAAAATCTTTTGCTACARATAAAACTCTTGCGCAAATTCTCTTCAAAACACGGAGTTTGTWAACAAAAGGACTACATAACGCGTTTTTATATAAATTCTAATGTATTCCCAGAAGAACAAAAATAAATAAACTTAATATGGCTACCACGATTTTGATGTAATTTCATATAGCAATGTGAGTAATTGTTTGGATGCCCGAGAATTTGTTTGTTAGCTTAGCAGATAATCTAACAATGCGTTAAAACAATCGTAAGCGGGATAGCAAAGGGGGAGGATTGGGGAGAGAAGTGCCTGGGGAGAYCTATTCCCCAAGAGGGGATATTACGCGCGTGGAATTATCAATCAGCCACACCTATAAGAACGAGAGAGGAACTGTACGCTTCTTTGATTCAAGCAAAGCCAGTAGCCACGATGGGGCATCTAGATATTCGTGTTATACTGTGGATCTTTGCTGCAACGTTGACRAGTAAGTCTATATCTTATTAATAAAGGAAATAAATTCATAATTCATAATTCCATATTCTTTACTAATTTTCAATGTGATTTCAATGTGATTTGGGTAGCTAGAAACTTACGACAACGATGATTATCTGTTAAATACCAAAGAATGCAAAATCCTTAATTGCTAGTGGTTATCATAAGCTTAGTCAATTTGGAAATAGCTTTTGTTGATGACTAGATGMTTGAACCACAATTCGGTTTCACTGCACACGGATAATCCATGTGCAAAGGTTATCGTTCGTACTGAGCTTTCGATTTTCACTGAACAGTCAAGGCATAGAAGTCATATAGAGTAGTAATAACGTGAAGTGATGCATTCCTATATACGCCGTACATTAAGACGGATTCTCGTGTTAAAAGAGAGCTGGGATAGTTTTACGTATTCATGTCAGTAGCACTACGAATCTAGAAACATTTTATTGCGAACAATTACCTAAAACGATCTGATGATCTCTTTCAAGATCCTWTTCGGGATCACAGATTTTCAAATCAATATCCGAGTTTTTTCGCTTTAGAATTTCGGCAAAAAATTTTCCCTTAGATGCGTGATTTGGCTTTAGTGATATTCAATTTTCTAAAMGACTTCATGGCAACATGGTGTTATTTATCAAATCTGTTCATAATCTTTTCAATTCGTTGCCTAGTATTTCCCCCCAGTATCAGTACATTCATAAATATRCTCTGTGTCAACTTTTGTCGTTAAAGCGTAAATCAGTTTTTGTTTCATAGGAATATCACATTCATAAGATTTATTAGAATATAAATTGTTTGGCTGCTATGGTGATGTTAAGGCATGAGAAACTGCTCATAGGTTTATTTTGGTCATATAATAAATTATACAGGTARTCTTCTTCAAAAATTTCTTTCCGCCGACCATCTTTATATCAGGTGCATCATGGGTAATTTTATACATCCTCCCTCTACTGAYGATTCTAGTGTTTGTCGAAATCAAGTTATTTTGTATTTTTAGAGTATCACGTAGACGCGGCATAYGGCGAAACTCGCACATGCGCAGTTGTCAAATGCAGTCTTGGTTTCGARTGTAMGATGATTGGTGGAGAGCCAAAGTGTGTTAAAATGCGATGTGACTTCGCCTGTCCAGAAATCTTTGACCCAGTGTGCGGCACTGATGGTAAAACCTACTCGAACGAATGCGAATTGAAGCGAGAAGCATGCAAACAAAGYAAAGACATTAAAGTTGCAAGCAAAGGAAAATGTCGACGTAAGTTTTCATAAATGTGTATTATCATTCTGTGTTGGCCAATTGGTTGAAAAAAGTAGATAACCTCATGAGGTTTGAACATTTTCAGACATAAAGAGCGTGTAAATGAAAGAAAAACTCAAAACCATGTGCTCGCCGCCGCATTTTTGCAATGACAAAATTCACCGTTATTAATGAGCTTTATTAATATATATATTAATCTATTATCAGCTACAAGCTGTGCGGCTGTGACGTGCGCACCGCCAAAAGTCTGCCAAATCATCAAAGGGTYTGCAGAATGTGTCTGTAATGAAATTTGCACCTTGGAGTTCGATCCAGTGTGTGGATCCGATGGGAAAACCTACTCTAACGAATGCGAACTGAAGCGAGAAGCATGCAAACAAAGCAAAGATATTAAAGTTGTAAGCAAAGGAAAATGTAGACGTAAGTAACGTTGTGATAAATGTTTTCTCGTTCTATAGTTGTGGCCAATTGGTTAATTTAAAAACAATAGATACCTTCTTGAGATTTGGACATTTTTAAGCATTAAGAGCCGCGTATGAATGAAAGGACATACAATTCAAAACCGTACGCATTTGACATAAATGTGTTTTCTCCTTTGAAAAAATGGCCGCCGCATCGTTGCAGTGATCAAATTCACCGTTAACGATCTTTATTAATCTATTATCAGCTACAAGCTGTGCGGCTGTGACGTGTGCACCGCCAAAAGTCTGTCAAGTCATCAAAGGTTTTGCAGAATGTGTCTGCAATAAAATTTGCACCTTGGAGTTCGATCCAGTTTGTGGATCCAATGGAGTTACTTATGGTAATGAATGTCAGCTAAAAGCAGCTGCTTGTCAACAAAATAAAAAGATTACAATTGCTAGCAAAGGCGAATGTCCGAAAGGTAAGAAGATGATCTRACCTAATCTAATGATATCTAGTTGGATAAGTGCTTTGCAGTCACAAGTTTATACATTTATTTATACGATTTGTGGATAGCAAAGACCTACACATAACTGTATTCTTAATTCACAGCATCTTGTGCCGCTGTAACCTGCTTGCTTCCTAAAGTCTGTGAACTCGTCGACGATCGAGCTCAATGTGTCTGTCCAAAATTCTGTCCGGCTGTATATAAGCCAGTTTGCGGATCTGACGTAAAGACATATAGCAACCTATGCTTCCTTAATATTGCTGCATGTAAAGACAAGAATATCAAACACGCTGGCGAYGGTCCTTGCTTTACAAGTAAGAAATCAAATACTCACGTGATCTAATGTTGATAATCACGTGATCTTAATATAGAGATTCAATAATCACGTGATACACTTCAGGGTGACAGTTAASCGATGATTTTGTTTATTTGTAGCTACCAGCAAACCAACAACCAAACGGCCATGTCCCGATGCGTGCATTCTGYTGTATGATCCAGTATGCGGCTCCGATAATAAGACATACAGCAATGCGTGTCTTCTTGGCATTGAACAGTGCAAAAACAACCCAAAACTAAGAGTTTTATATCGTGGAAAATGCAGTAAGTACCGATTCATAAATCAAGAGGATTTTTGGTCACGCGGCTTGTTACCATCAGAAAATTACTGGAATCATGCATGATGTGATGCAGTACTTCCTGGAAATAATTGATTATCTATAATCTTGAACTTCCAGCGGCAGGATGCGAAGGTAAAAGCTGTCCAGGCAAGCATGCCGCCTGTCACATGGTACAAGATCGCCCTACATGCGTWCGAGTTTGCCATCCTTGTCCTGGATTACAACGTAAACCAGTTTGCGGTTCCGACGGAAAGACTTATGCCAGCAAGTGTGAGCTCGATAGGGCTGCGTGTAAAAGTAAAAAGAAGATCAGAGTTGTAAGCTCAGGACGTTGCAAACCACGTAAGTAAAACTGTTTTGCAAGTATGCGTTTGAACAAAACCGCAGTGCTGAGATGAAAACATTCTCATAAAGCCTGTATAAATATCCTTAAACTCCACCTAAGGGCATAAACTGACAAGTGTCCTCGACTTGAATCAATCATTCGTCATTTTCATAAAAAGAAACATTTTTCCTACAATCCCAGGCATATTTAAGTTGCTCGACTGATAACAATATTTTTTTGCGCATCCATTTTCTTCTTGCTAAATTTGTATTTTTTTCCTTAATTTTTAGCCAAAATCACCTGCGCAAATGTACTGTGTAAGATCCATTCGATCTGTAAGATGATCAGAGGCAATCCAAAGTGCATCAGCACTTGTCCGAWGAGATGTGGCAGGATCTATCGACCAGTTTGTGGGTCTAATGGAGTGCTCTATCCCAACCGTTGTTTAATGAAAATGKCAGCTTGTAAAAAGAGYAAGATTATCACTGCTGTTAGCATGAAACGATGTCGCAAACGTAAGTTAATCACAAATCGCAAGCATAATCAGTATATGAATACAAGACTCACTGGAAAAAAATCGCGCGCTTTAAAGGTTGTAAATTTGATGTAAATATGATGTAAGTGTTCAAAATTCTGTAAATTTAATGGAAATCATTTACATCAAATTCTTACAGAATTTTGGACACTTACATCATATTTACATCAAATTTACAACCTTTAAAGCGCGCGATTTTTTCCAGTGACCGCTTGTCTTAAAAATGATTAATCTTTTCCTATATTAGACGTTTGTGGCAACTACAGATGTATCTATCCGCCATATTCCCGATGTGAGGCTGTAAGGGGAAGAAGGAGATGCGTTTGTAAATTCCTCTGCCCTCGTAAACAAAGCTTGGTGTGTGGGTCGGATGGTAGAACGTACAGGAATCTGTGTTTCATGAGAAAAAGGGCTTGTCTCAGTAGGAAGAAGATTAAAGTCGTCAGCAAATCGAGATGTAAAAGTACGATCAAAATATTTTGATACTTTGTGTTTATATAGTGTTAAAAGTACCACTGGAAAAAATCGCGCCCTTTAAAGGTTGTAAATTTGATGTAAATATGGTGTAAGTGTCCAAAATGATGGAAATTTGATGGAAATGATTTTCAAAAAAATTACATCAAATTTCCATCATTTTGGACACTTACATTATATTTACATCAAATTTAAAACCTTTAAAGCACACGATTTTTCCAGTGTACATTGCTAAGACTGCAGACTATATTCACTTAATATGTGAAACAATAGCACTAAATGTACTAAAGTCATTTTCATACATCTGTGAAGTAGGAATTGTACTATTAAATACCATTACCCCCTATTAGCTCCCCCTATAGGCAAACACGGTTTTGATTTTGCCTTTTGGTAGCCTACTACACCCTAATRGTTACTATTAAACACTGACTAGTAGTAATTGTTTCACAGACGGATGGAAATGACTCTACAATAGCTATTGAACAATATACATTTCTTTTCTCCACTTGCTTATTAAATTTTTATATACTTTTTAAGATCCTTGCTTCAGAGCCAAACGATGCACCAGTCCTCCCTATTCAGTCTGTCGCCCGGTCAAAGGCAAAGCAAAATGTGTGTGTCAGCGGTTCTGTACAAAACACTACCGCCCCGTTTGTGGTTCTGATGGCAAGACGTATGGCAATCTTTGCATGTTGAGGTCTACATCATGTATACAGAATAGAAAAATTACTCTAAAGCATCCTGGGAAATGTCGTATCGGTATGTATTTGGTTACCATATGGACAATAAACCGACAATGTATCGACGCTGCACCGAAAGTGAATCGACAGCAAACAGGCCGAAAATTTATTGGCGGTATTCCAACAGAATATACCGAAAATTCCGCCAACAATCCAAAAACTTGTCGACGACATTATAATAAAAGTATACCGATACTTTACCGACAACGCGCCGATAAAACTCCGACAATTTACCCTTAACATGCCGACAATACTGCGACAATACAGCCACACAGTTCAAGTRATTCTAAAATAGTCTATATGTGTTTTATAGATCCTTGCAGGACGGTCAGGTGTGGATTCTATGCTGTTTGTCAAGTACAAAACAACAAACCCAAATGTGTCTGTAAAAWAGGATGCCCAAGAATTCTCAAACCAGTTTGCGGTAGCGACGGCAAAACATACAACAACGAATGTCTCTTGAAGGTTGAATCATGTAAACAACAAAAGCAAATCAAAGTTGTTTACAAAGGCAGATGTCGTCCAGGTAAGATGGCCGTT